CCTCCTGTTTTTCGTTGCCCTTCGGCCTACGTACTAGTTTGAGATCATCTGCAAAGACCACTTTCTAAACCGAACCTCTTTCAGTACACCGATTTAGCTTCAAAGCTGTATCTGCGGAACACATTCCACCTTGATACATACTCTAAGAAGTTTTGTGACCAGTTATTAACTACTAGAACTATTCATTACCTCGCTTTCGCTCGAGTTATTTGACTAAACCTCGTGGCACATGCAAACCAGGTAGTTGTGACCACTTTCTAAACCAAACCTCCATCGATACACCGATTTAGCTTCAAAGCTGTATCTGTGCAACACATTCCACCTTGGTACATACTCTTAGAAGTTTTGGGACCAATTATTCATTAGTAGAACTGTTGTTCACTTCGATGTCGCCCGAGTGATTATGCCAAACTTCGTGGTCTATTTCCCTGCATGCCTATCAGTTTTATAATTGTTCTTACGTTTACTTACCTAGCTGTACATATACAAGTATATATACAGTCTTATACCATCTCTATTATTCCACTTTGCCCATTGATTTGTGATATGCTGTCTCTTCCCTTATCCCTTCTCAGCTGGGTATTACCCCAGACTGTTCAGTGTGACGTTTGTTCCAGATACGGTTGGCTTGGACCTGTCGAAGACTTGGGGTCTGAACCCATAATGAAAACTTTTAGCCCTGGCAGTGGATGCTGGGCATGGCTGACTTGACGGTTTTGTCTGCATGCGTCCGCATCCCGGCAAACGTATGAACTAGCTGTACTCCTTCCTATTTATTCATATCCTTGTGACTCCATTTTCCCCGTCTATTGTCTGACATTTTGTCTCTCCGTATCTTCTCCCATTAGAGCCGCACTCCGTTTCCCCACGATAACGGGGTAACAGTTACTGCAATTTTGATTGATATGCTTATACAGCACATTCTTCCATCCTCCACACCAACGTTTGTGACCTCGTCCGCTTTGTGTTCCGTTTACACAGCGTTTTCGTTCTGCTCCCCTACCATCTCCAGCATGAACGTCTTCCAAGTAGTTTATCTATTTACCTGTACTGTCGTTGTACATATGATTATTTTTGAAAATATGATCATGCCTTGTGCATGCTTCACGGGTTTCGTGAAATATTCATTATTATTATTATTATTATTAAAGATGGACGCCGGAGATGCAAGGTCGCCACCCGCGATCTAGATTAGGAACAGAAGAGGCCCCAGAACTGAACCCTGTGGCACTCCGCTAAAGATGCCTGATCGCCTAGATCTCTCTTCATCCACCCTAACCTAAAAGGATCGGTTACTTAAATAGGCAGCAGTCCATTGCAGGGGTCACTCGTTCATTTTGAGCACTCTCATCTTAGCTAGGAGGTAACGGTGGATAACTGAGTCGAAGCCCTTTTGGAAGTCCAAGTAACACACCTCAATTCTCTCACCCCGATCAATTCTGCCCGTGACTTCATCAAGGAAGGACAAAAGATTTGTGAGACAGGACCTTCTTTTCGTGAATCCACGCTGGCACACAGCAAGTAAACCATGTTATGCTACATGGGAGTTCAGCCGACCCCGAAGTACATTCTCCAGGACCTTCAGTTGTAGGGATAGAAGACTTACTGGGTGGTAGTTTGAGGCCTCTTCCATGGTACGTCCTTTGTGGATCGGGATGACTTCGGCTTGTTTCCAGTCTGATGGTAGCGTTGCTGTAGTGATCGACCGGCTGAAAAGCCGAGATAACGGTTCAGCAACTATCCTTATAATTGGCTTGAATATTACTGGATGTATACCGTCTGGACCGGAAGCCTTTCCGGTGTTTAGTGGGCCCAGGATTTTTTCTACCTCTAGTCTGTTGATAGGAGGGTTTGCCATCTGTGGAACATCGGCCGGTAATAGGGTGGGGACCTATCTATCCTTGTCTCTCTGGTGAACCCTCTTGAAGGCTACCGAAGCGCCTCGGCCTTTTCATTGCTACTTACAGCAAGCCCACTATCCGCAGTCACCAGGTTTCCAACGGCCGTTCTCGTAGCGGACTTTGATTGGACGTAGCTGCAGTAAGCTTTGGGGCACTACTTAGCTCTATCGGCCAGGCCTACTTCCTAATTGCGGCGGCAGTCGCTCTGGACCCTCAAAGCAACCTCACGGACCCTAAGGTATTGGAGGAACCTTGAGTGGCTGCTTGAGTTTCTATAGCTGTTCCAGGTTCTATGTTTCCTGGATTGTGCTCCCTTGGCCTGGCTTTTCCACCATGGTTGATACCTTGTCTCCTGATTCTGCGCAGCGGTGCACAAAGCTCGGTGAGGTGTAGTACATTTGCCTTGAAAGCCCCCATTCTTCTTCTATCGTTCCGTATTCCCTTTGCCAATCTCGATTTGAGGCTGCCTCTACTAGGGCCTCATGGTCGATAGGTCTAAACACTCGACGTATCTTATGGGGCGCTTTCGGCACGCTGAGTACGTATCGAAAGTGGATTACCCCGTGTTCACTTCTCCCCAGCGGTGCCTCAACCGTGAGATGCTCCACCTCGTACGGATATCGTGTGAATACGAGGTCCAGCAGTCCTGGCTCCTGCCAACACCACCATCTTGTGGGTTGGTCTACATGTTTTATCAGAGAACCCTCCTGTACCCAGTCAAGCAGTCGGTGCCCGAACGTGTTCCTGGGTGCCCAGGCTTGCGCTCATTGCACCTCTGGTGCTTTTAAGTCCCCCAGTAGCAGCACGAAACGTTTGGGGCGGTCTAGCCGACTAGTTTTTGGATTAACTGTTTGTCCTCATGCCGATCCGCTGAGGGGCTTTTATATAGACAGACTAACTTCACCTTCTTTGAAGCCGTGGTCGCCTGGATGTTTGGTGTTGTTAGCTTACTACCTTCCCTTTGTACTATGTGCTGGGCCCCCACATCTGCCATCCTCTCTGTCAGCTCTATAGCTACTGTAGCCTCTCGGAGCTTGTTGCTCTATGGCTTTCCCAAGTCTCAGCCAGGTTTCCGTAACAGCAATGCAGTCATGGTCCTGTGCTTCCGAGCATAGTTCCGCCCATTTGTTACCCACATTGCGGACATTGCTATAGAGAACCTTGAGGTTGCCTGGTCCAGAGGTTCAAGTGCTAGGCTGACTGCGAGGAGACTCGGAGTTTAACTCTGAGCTCCTATTCCGTTTTTTGGACCTGAGGCTCTGTCCACTGGTGACGAAGTGGACAATCGTATTTCTTCCCTGAGCTTGGTATCCAATCCGGAAACGGTGCGGGCGTAGGTGACACTCCCCGTTGTCAGCTCTTGAGAGCGGTTAGGTATTCGGGATAGTTGGATCCTAACCCCGACCTGTTCCAATTTACTGGTACTGGACTCCCCTTTTCCGTCATTCGACCTGGTAGCCCTGTTGTTTTCCTTGGCTAGGTGGTCTGGCTCTACCAATATTTTACCCTTGGTGTGCGCCAACCTGCTACAGTTCTGGTGAAACCAAGTAAAGCAACCATCGCATCTAATATCCTCATCCACTTCAGCAGAGCAACCTTTCTTGCCACAGGGGTAGGTCCCGGCACCCAAAGGTGACGATAGAGAGGATGTTCTCCAAACCATGCCAGTAGTTGGTGTCAGCCTTAGGAAATCAAAATATGTGAATAACGATAAAGACAAAATAGAGACTATCAGTGGAAGGAATCAAATGCCTGCCCGAGATTGCTACCGAAAAGAACAGCTCACATAAGTGTTCCATTACTTGCACAAGTGAAAAAGGAAAATGGCATCCTAAGCAAACGGCACACCTGCACTCGTATACACTGCCAGAGATGGGAATAGTTCCACACGTCGCTTATCGAGTGAATTCCTAAAGGCCTGTACTGTTTAAAGGTTGACTATTACCTTGGGAAGCCAGTTCCAACTATCGGCTATCCTATTGCTGAAAAAGTGCATCCGCATGTTTTGTCGACATACTGTGCTTCATGAGTTTCAATTCATTTTCCATAGTACCGCTTTAAACAGCTTATGTAAAGAAACTGTCCGCTCCTATCCCCGATATTCCCTTCATGATTTTCAAGGTTTCTTTCAGATCCCCTCGCAGTCTCCTTCTTTCTAATGAGAAAAGCCCTAGAGCCATTAGTCTTTCCTAATATGTTTAACCTTTTGGCCTTCGAACATTCTGGTGGCCAATCTCTGAACTTTCTCTAAACAGGCTGCATACTTCTTGAATAAGTGTGATCAAGCCCGTTACCAACACTCTAGGTGTGGTTTGACTATGGCTTTGTAAACGGGAATGAAGGCTGTACGTCAACCAATTCGCACTTGAGTGACGAGTAGCCGAAACCAATACGAATCCTGAAATAAAACACGATTGATCCCTAATGTTCTATGGTACTGAATTAGCGAAATCATTACAAATGTGCAATAAAGCACACCTGAATTATGCGGCCAAAAGCACTCAAGCAAGCGAGCGAAATATGATGTCCAGAGACAGGCAAACGATCGCTCACATCTTCTAACCACGCAAAATTCAAATGTGCCGGGCATCGAACTAGCAGATATAATATTAATGTATGGTGTTTGTGATTGAGAAATGTCAATATAGGAGTAAGATACAGATAGAGTTATGTCACCATAAATCATCATGGGTTTGGAAGGATTTTCAAAAATTCAACATGATATACACCGGCCGCAAAATTCTTCCTGCGCTCGTCTGAGTCAAAGGGTTGGCGCAGGTCATTGATTCTTGTCTCCTATCTACCTACCTAGTCCCATTGTCAGTGCTTCTACCTACGAGTTGTCCAGCTTTCGCCGCACTCATTGATCTTGAATCATTACAGATAAAGTTTGGATGTGTAAACAAGGAGGGGGCAAATTGTGGGCGGTGTAATTAATGTTCACGTTTTACAAATGAAATCATGTTCAGCATGCACGTGATTGTGTGTATGTGAATGGATGGATGTTGTGAGGACATGGGTCACACCTTCGAGGTTAATGTCATAAATTGTGTATGAATCTGATGAAAGGACACTCAGTCACGAAATGAAATACAGAGGATGCATGGTAAGGACGTGGAAGCACGGGTTCGTACAGATGGGGCGAATATCACCGAGGCGCAATCGATGCAAGGGGCAGGTAAGTCAGTAGAATACACGGTGGGTCTCCGCAACTTCATCAAGTAACTGCATGATGGTCATCTCCCTCCATAAAACATTCGTCGAATGTCGCGCACCTGTTCACCGGCAGATGCTTTCAATTTTACTGTTCTTACTAGTCCATCTGAGTCCGTGTGCCTTTCAGCACGCCCCTGGAGCAGTAGTCGGCTGGATTGTCACAGGATTTTATGTGCCGCCATTGACCCACCTCCGTTTCTTTGTGAACGACAGCCAACTGGTTGGCAACAAACGTGCTGAAGCGCGTCCGTACATTGCTAACACAGTGAAGATCTATGGCGGAATCAGTCAAGTAAGTTACGATGCAATCGATTGAGTGAAAACATCTTTTTGATATCTTCGCCACCCTCATGGCTAATACTGCTGCGGCCCGTTCTAGCCTGGGTATTGAGACTGTCTGTAGAGGGGCGACCCTGGCCTTATCGAATAGTATAATGCTATACCTCCTTCCCCCTGGTCGAGACAAGCAACTGTAGGCCACTACCCAGTATCCCACCTCCGACGCGTCCGCAAAATTGTGTAACTCACTTTGCTCTCCTTTGTGTATTCCGGGTATGGGACGAGGGAGTCGTATATCGCCCAGCTTGGACAGGCTCAACCACCCGCTTTACCAGGTCTTGTGATCCGCTTCGCATGGGGTCTCATCCCAAGTAACCTTTTTTCTACACAGGTCCTGCAGAAGAACCTTAATAGTAATAATAATAGGTGTATATTTCACGGAGCCCGTGAAACATGCACTAGGCATGATCAAATGACCAGAGCGAGCATATGTACAATAACAGTGTAAGTACGTAACTGCATTGAGAATGTCACCTCGATTGGTGATGAAACGTTTGCAATACAATTGCCAAGCTCGGCGAACATTGAACATCATATTATACCACCCGAGCTACAAAAACAACAATGAACATCGTTGTTTACCAAACTGTCATATATATATAAGAGTATATACCACACAAGATTGTGTCCCAAGGATCCTGCTTTGAGGTTCGTTCAGTGTACTGGTGATATTGGGTTAGGAAGGTGTACACAGCTACCTGGTTGGCGTGTGCCACGGACGAGAACGGATAGGATTTGAGTGAAAAAAATTCGAGAATCATGCTGCTTAGGGATACTAGGTCACATTTGTGAAAGTATGTACCGGCTTGAATAGTGTTCCACGGACCCTGCTTTGAGGCTGGTTCCGTCTACTTGTAACAATGGGTTAAGAAAGTGTACACAGCTTGCTATTTAGTGTGCCACGAAGGAGAAAGGATAGAATTGGGTGAAAAAATTTGAGGGTTTGATGCCAAATGCGTGTACTGATATGAAAATGTTTGATAAAGTGGGCACCGGCTCCTGGTGAGCATGTGCCATAGGGTTTATCGAATTGTGTCAAACCGATTGGAGATCAGTTGGGGATGAATCAAGCGAAAATGGATCACAG